AGCTGTAACAATGAATATCTGTTCCAATTCACCTAAAATAATTATAGTCATTGTGTAATATATTCTTAAACACACACATTATACAGTGGTTTTCTTAATAAATTGGAAATTACTTACCTCTAGAAAGAAATGTGTACAAAAACGCGAGTTTGGTTCCAGAAATTGCTTCATGCAAAAATAAACATTCCCCCCCAAAGAAAATTAATTAAACAACAAAATCAGACTAAAAGAAATATACGGGGCCCAAATTAAATTAATTTTAATAAAATGCACATGTTCATAACAACATTCATAACATTGTCAGTTGTCAGTTTTAATACTTTTAATCGATATTTCTACGTCAAAAAACCAGCAACACCAGCGCCCTCTGAAAATGGTGTTAGTTTTATTGGAGAGAGATAGACATATGTAAAGATCAATGTAAAAGAAAAAGAGGGTCATATATGTAATTTAAATGGACCACCGAACATATTTTCCTATTAAGTTACACGTCTCTGTTGTCTCTGATAGTAGCCAGTAAGATCCTTTGAAGGTGTGTCAGCAGTGCGCAAACTTTACCCCACTACTGATAGGATGCGATGCCTGTAATTTGTTTAAAAAATAATTCCATTAGAATCAATAAATAAGAAAGAACAGTAGATTTTTGCAATTTTATTTTTTTTTGTAAATCATTTTTTTTTGATTAACGATTTTTTTTATTCAGATCTTTTTTGGGAAAAAAAAATATTTGCTCATTTACCATATCGAAACAAAAAGTACAATTCTATAAACGTTCAAAAATTTATAAAAATATGTCATTTACAACAAGAATGTTCTGATAGATTTTTTTAAATTCTTACGAATTTCCCGATGATATTGACAATTTTAATGCAATGAAGGTTTTAATATTTTATTTTTACAATACTACCTTTCAAGCTGTCGCTCTTCCACTAGTAAATAACAAAATACAATTTTAGTAGGCCATTAATAATTCAATATTAAATGTATATACTTAGTAATGAAATTATACAAGAAAGGGGAAACTCCTTACAAACGTTATATATTTATAACTCGTGATAAATGCCCATTAGCGTCTTTGATAAAATCTCTATTTACAATTTGTTCATTTGCAAGAAAACTTTCGAAGTTTCAAACTTCATAATCGTCCCGTTGGAACTTCTAAAATTTTCTTTTAAGACATGCATTAAGAAAGTTTTATAAGTAATAACATAAATCCTGAATGACAATTACAATGAAAAAGTATATGCTTCCATAATTTCATAAATTAAAATAATAAGTATTGTTCAAACACAAATATACATAACATAAACGTTGGAAGTTTGTAAAAAATGTGAAGAAACCTTTGATAATGAATGGCAGAAGTGAAATGTGTGCAACTCAAAACAAATCGTAGATTTATTGTAGTTTTATTGTGAAACCTGTTGTTTCAGCCCGTATTAAAGAAGTCTCTGAGCTGAAAGTTTTTATTAACAAAATACTAAATAAGGAAAATGAAGCTATATTAACTAATCCTGTTGTTTCATCTGAAACACCAAATACGCAATAATTATTGTTGGATATTTAATATTAATGATTCCCTTAAGATAACTCAAGCAGATCATAATACAGACGATAAACAACTATTCGCAAAAGGTCTGAAAGAAATGAAATTTGGTGGGATGGTAGACATAGGTCCCCTGATACTACACCCAAGTTTGCGACCTCGAGGGGTTGCCGCTCAATGGGTAGAGAGATGAAAATTCTGCGTCACGATGCATTTCGTGAAATAGCGCCGTTATGGTAAGTGCTATCAAAAAAAAAAAAAAAAAAAATCAAATGAAATTTGTACAAGACAAAATGGTGCACAATTTTGAGCTCTACATTTTTTGTCTGCAGCCAACAGTTTCCGTTCTAAGACGCGCCAAAGTAGGGGGTTGATTTGCAATGTTCAACAAAATGAGAATTTCAGCGCGGATTAAGACCGTTAAATATTTTTTTTAAAGTAATAATTTCTGAGTCTTCAGATGCCCGATTTGATACATTTAGTCGTATATAATAAATGCTATGATGTTTTGAAGAGCGCCCCTACATACTCCGATATAAATATTTTGTAATTATCAGAATCTACAGTCAATAAAGGGTGATCCAATTTCAGTTTCCTACATTGGCACTACTGGAGTGCGTTTAGAAACCACGCACGGCGCGTCTGGACCCTATTCTAATGTACGTGGTCAGGCGCGCCGTACGAGGTTTCTAAACGCACTCCAGTAAATCAGACAATTGATAATATGCATTTGTTTTCGAAGCGTCAAAAGTCAGTTTGTAGTAACACATTTACAAAACGGATCGCTTAACGGCCGCTCAACGCATGCAAATTGTGCGATTGTTTTATCAAAACAACAATTCCATACGAACCGTATTCAGACGTTTACGCGCAGATTATTGCCAATGTTATCGTCCTACGGAGCGAATTATTCGAAATGTCAAAAAATTTGAAGATACTGGAAGTGTTGCAGATATGAGAAGGTCTGTGAATCATCCTCGTGCACGTTCAGCTAAAAATGTTGCTGCAGTTAGTGAAAGCCTGGCTGCCAACCCAAGAATGTCGATTCGCCGGCGCTTGTAAGTTTTAGGCTTTTTTTATGGCTCCCTTTGGCGCATTTTGCATCGGAATTTGCATTTACACCTATATAAAATTCAGCGAACACAAGAGCTGAAGCATAGAGACCATAACCAATCAACCCGAAACGTTAGATCATCTGAAAAACAATATTCGCCAAGTTATTGCCAACATACCGCCCGAAATGTTTGAAAAAGTCATCGAAAATTATCTAAAAAGGATCGACTCTTACAGAAGGTCTAGGGGCGGCTATTTAAATATATTATTTTTTATACTTAATGAAACACTTAATATTTTCTATTGCTAAAGTTAAAATATATTTTTTTCTAAATTTTTGAGTTTTATTTCATTTAAAAGGTGGGAAATTCAATTTGAATCACCCTTTATTTCCATATTATTGTTGACCTAGGCGCCAAATTTGTTATTTTTGTGCATAAGTTGTCATGAATATCCTGTTTGTGGTATAGCATACGTATGTAATGAATTGTAATCACATATTACTTTATGATATTGGTTTTGACTTAAATCTTTCAGTTTTGATGGATGTAAAATTTGAGAGAAGCGATCAGTAATTGAGGACCAGAGTACTATGGGCACTATATTTTCTAAGGATTCGCTTGTATTAACATGAAAATGATCCAGGCAGGTTTTACTGCTACCCTGTATTCTCGTGGGTGAATTAATCACTGATATGTATCCATGTTCATGCAAAATATTTAAATACTCAGTTTCTTCCAAGATATTAATATTTATGTCCCCACCAATAATATTTATGTGATTATTTTGCTTTAAATACTTGTATAGATCCTGATTCAATTGGAATGAACATACACTGGGAGATCTATAGATTGCTAATAATTTAAATGATTTGTTCAATTTATGGATAACTATTTCTAGAGCGTTTATGTTTAGAGATACGATTTTATAGTTGTATGTCAAATTGTTTTTAATATATACGACTGCCCCATCTACTCTATTTAAATTTCCCTCTGAATAGATAAGATTATAACCAGGTAAAGAGAACATTTCAGAATTATAAAGTTTGTATGTTTCCGTTAACACATAACAATCAAACGCTTTATTAAAACTTGCAACCATCAACTATGTTATTTAATATTTGTTCTTTTTTATTATTTTCTGCTTTCAGAAGATTGACTCTTTTTTTAAAATAATCGTTATATTTTATAATAATTTAATCAATAATATCTAGCGAAATGTCACATCTTGACAATAGTAGGAAAAAATACGTAGTTAAAGGTTCTTTTTTATATGTACAAATTTGGGAATTTACGAATCCCATATTAAACCAAAATGAATAAATATATCCAAAAGATTAAAGTAATTACAGTAGTAAACTCCATTTACATCAACTCCGAGATTTTCAAATTTGACATCGACATATTTCTTTAGTTTTCCTTTTGACTTATTCGCGAACTTTACTCATTTGCAAAACTTTCTCATTTAATCTACTAAATAAGAAACGATGTTAGCTTACTGACTACAAGATGTTGAACACTGATATCAAAACTTTAATTAAATAACAATATACGGGGTTTCAGAAACTTCTGTCTTCTCCCAACAAACATTTCATTTTGGTAAGTTAACGTATCTTTATGTAGAGTTCAATTTATATTTCCCCCCCTACTTAGGGCCAATTTTATATTTGAATCAAATGAATCGTTTATTTATAGATCACTTTAGGGTTTTTAAAATTATTATCTTTTTGGGTTAAGGAATATTTTATTTTAAGAGACGATCCTATGAGAAAGGTTCTTTTCCATTTGAAAAAGCCATTTGATTATTCATGCAATGCAACATATAAATGCTTCTATGATTTTATTGGAAGGAAGATTTGAAGATTTGCTATATGAAGAAGATTTGCAGATTTGATAAAAGTTAACGTCTTGAGGACCTAAGAAGTATCATTTGGAGATCTTTCATCGTAGATAAGACCTGTTCTACCCCTTTAAAAAGTCCTACCTTATTAAGGACAGATAAATTAAAAAGTAATTTTTTTATTAGAAACTATTGTAGATTAGAATTTGGTTTTCCCGTATCAACTAAAGGCATATCCTTTGTTTCTCATTTGAATTTAAGTCATTTTTCTTTCCGTATTTTCATCAATTACTTTTATACGTAGAGATATTCAGATTTAAATACGATGGCGTCAATTTTCTAATTGCAGGTTAATTGAATTATATCCACGACCCTTCTTACAAAGCTTTAATCACTTAACATCAGAGGTTACAAATATTGACACCCTCATTAACAAGAAATGGTTTGATGACCATTTGTAGAGGCGTCACTAACACCAAATGTCTAGTAAAAGTTTATAAATATTACGTTTGCACACCTTTAGAAACTGTTACTGAAACCAACGTATTATATTGGTAATACTTACTGTACAGTCTGTATCTCCCACATAGCAAAAATCTCCGGAAACCGAAGTCGGAACCCATAAATGGTCTCCGTTGATAGCAGTCTCTTCCCAGTCTGGTGTACCCCTTAAAACCCGTTCTCCCACCTCTGTAGATTTTCTGAAACAAAGACAACATAATTTTAGTAGTTGTTTTAACTGTATAAATACACAGTTCAGCAGTGGCGTGCGTGACATTTTTGGAAAGGGAAACGATTGTATAAAAATACAGCAGGCCAGTAAGCACAGCGCCGCAAGTGAAAATTTTTCGCGACGCATTCACCATTTTGTCAAAATTTCCTCAGTACAAAGGATATTCGAGATTGAGATTTTTGAAGTGTTACTAGGTATTACTTTATTACCTAGTTTAGTACTAGAAGCTATAAAAAAACTTACCATTGAAAAGCTTCCTTGGTTTATTTAAACGTAAAAAAAAACATTTATCCAGCATTTTTCGCACATTTGACATTTATTTATATTTAAGATCTATTCGCCTATCCTCAATGGCTGCAAATTTGTCTATAACATCGTCGTAAATTTTGGATTTTCTGATAACTGTTTAACGAGCTGTTTTTCAATGGATATTAGGGCTAAATTGTTGAATTTCGTATAAAACTTTTAATGCGCTTTCAAGCTGAAAAACTTCGCTCAACTGACGCACTTGTGGCTGGGATGGTTAGTACTAATTCACACAATTTGACGACTTCACAAAGGGACTTATTTAAACCAGTTGTTATAAGAAAATTTAACACATTGATGGGCGTCTTTTTATTACTAATTTCAGTTATTTCATAAACAACACTTAACTGGGACTTTAATGCTGGAATATCGAAAAAATTTCCATAATTTAATATTAATGAATTAAAAGCTTTCGATGGAAATTTTGATCAATCGTAGTTACTAATATTAAAATTGCACAATTCAACAAATTTTAATTCGTTAAAGTTTTGAAATCGAGAGTTCATTTGTTGTAGAATATTATCAAAAAATTCGGCGTATTATCGACGATAGGAGGTCTCTCTGTCACCGACATTATCAATTCTAATTCAGTGTTCAAACTGATCTCGTTTTTTATTCATTTTATTTTTAAAATCATCAATTTGTTTAAAGCAAAAGCCAATGACATTTGACTTTGTCTGTAAAATGTCGAATAAAATGTCAGTAAAAGGGAAAATCTCTGCAAAAATGTTGAGCAAAAAATTGAAATCAAAGTTTTGTTTGAGCCAATGCAAACACCCTTTAGCAGCAGTAACAGTTACAGCATTCCATGTTTCTTTATTATCCGAAACGTCTTGAAAAAAGTTTATCAAAGAATCACGGTATTAAAACACTGTTTGCACTAAACGTCCATTGTAGTTCCATCGCGTCGGAGCAACTTTTGGAAACCTTCTTTGAACGTGAACGTCCAAAGCGCGAGTTCTTTCGATGACTTTAAAAAGAAGGAAGTCTGGGCAACAAGGTTAGAACCACATTCTAAACTTGAAATAATGTCACAAACAATTTTAAACAATGCATCTACAGTTCGTTCGCTAGTGACGTCCAAAAATCCTAAGAATCGCTCTTGGGGAATGTCATCCAATACATATCGCACAACAATGGATAATTGACTTAAGTTTGCTACATCTGTGGTTTCATCAAGCGCAATTGATACGAAAGGTGCTTTTTTAATTTGACTTTTATTTAATTAAATCATTTTGGATTCTGTTTGAGGTACCTTGGAAAGTCGTCGAATCAATAAAATGATTTTTTAGGGTATCATCGTATTTTTCTAAAAAATTTAAAAGGCCCATGTAATTTCCTCGATTGGCCTTTCATTGTGAATTTTGTTGCTTATTTTTAAGTGATTGTCCAAACTATGTTCAATGCGATAGGTCCCGAATGTTTTTTCTTTAATTGTAGCACTTATATGAGATTTGCTATTTATATGTCGTTTTACACTTTTGTGAAAATTATTTAAGTCTGTAATACCGACTGTTTATTTATATTGTTTCCAAGATATGAACCAAAACACCCTGTATGTCGGTTATACATGGCAAAAGATTCATTATACTCTGGTAGTTTATAAGTCACGGCTAAAATATGTCCGATTCCCAATAAATTACCTTGTATATATGAAATTAGATTTGTCGTCAAACCTAATCAATCCATCTACGTTTATTAATTACCGTCAAAAATCATTTTTCAGTTTCCAATTAACGTAACAAAGAACATAACAGCACGCAGACATAGGTACGTTTTTTTTTTGTAGTGTAACAAACGGGCCTCGGCTGCCGCCCACGGCATGATTGAAACACATTTAACGATTATTGATGTCTTTTTTGCATGTAATTCGTTATGAAGTTGAAAGTGTCTCTTCAACCCTCTTTTCTCTGAACGTACCTACGTAGGTTTTCTCTTTGATGGGTCACGAATCGAATCATTTAGGTGAAACTCGGCGTTATATTGATATATCTTTCTCTCTAAAAAATTTAGAAATAGAGATATTTTCTTGGCTTCGCAATGCAATATTTTACGCTAGGTTCTTATTTAAATAGAATTTTGGCTTGTAATTCTTGATTACGATTCGTATAGAAGCAGAAGGATTTTCTTTCCCAGCCAATGTGCGGCATAAGAGAAAGATTGAATTTTTTTTAGCTTTTTGGAATTCTGGGGCATTGAAATAAAATTGGGTATGATTTTTTTGTATTTATTTCATTTAAATAATTGTTGAAAGAGAATTGTGCATGCATGTAAAGAAAAGTGGTTTGTAGGGATATTACAAATGGGAAATATATAAGATTTGAGTAAATGAGAGACTATATGTTTGAATAGTTGAATAGTACTGGTAGCGGTGTCTAAAGAGTGCAAAGTATAACCAAAAAAAAAAAAAAAGAAATATACAACAAATTAAAATAACATAAACAAGTAGTATTAGATAAAGGTGTTAGTAGATTGTTGGAAGAAGAATAAAAGAAAGTAATATAAAGTTATTAAGTCATTTTTCATACGTGAAAATATATATATTTACGAGGAGATAAAGTTTAACAAAGAGAGGAACTATTTAAAGAAGTGGAAGGGAATATGGAATAAAAAATTTAGAAGATACGGTTAATGAGGAAAAACAACAGAAGGAGACAATAATGGAAGAAGATTGGATTGCCTATGATAAAAAGAAAGACGATTCAATAGAAATAATGGAAGAGGGACAACAACATTGATAATTTGAATGAAAAGAGTAGGAAAATGGATAAATTGGAGAAAAACGGAAAAGAGAACAAGAAACAAATGATTGATATAATTGGAAATCAGACTCAAGGCAGTGTTACGCAGCACCCTGCAGCATCCTGTAGTCCAGAAATGTCATTCCTTGTGTAGAGAAAAGTCCAGATTGTTCGAGAAGGTTCTAGAAGGTCGAGACAAGCTATATAAGTAGACGACATGATGTCAGAGTTCAGTTTTATGATAGACGTTAAACGTTAATGTTATCAGTTGGCGTTTGTAACGATGTTCCCCAGTTCTAGATACGCCTATGGTTCAGCATATAGCCGTTTTTGCCAATCAGAGACAAGTATATAAAGAGCTCCGAATTTAATTCTCGTCAGTCGAATTAAGGTACTGACTTAGTAAGACTCTCCTCTCCTGCTCCTGCAGAGGTATTGACTCTGTAGGCTTCCCGACGTCCCGACCCTCACCTGCAAAGGTATTGAATTTGTAGGTTTTTCCTTTCCCGTGAATCCCTCTCACGAAGGTATTGACTTCGAGGGACTTCTATCACCGTGAAGGTAACCTAACCTCTTGTCACATCTTCGCAACGCCATCCTGGACCACTAAGCCACGCCGAACCGACGCACAAAATATATTTTGGTAAACGACATTTGAAGATACGACGATTCAAAATTTAGTTAAAACCTTTTCATGTACATATTGTAAATATTGTTATCTGCATATAAATTGTTAGAATAAAGTTTTATTTCCAAAGAACTCTGTCTCCGACTATCTAGAATTTACCTGCTACCCGAACAAACCCCAGGAGGGGTTACACTTATTATATCAGTTGAATTGAGTTATTGTAAAAGTTGAGTTAAAATAAATTGTGATACCAAAAACCAGCGTTATTATTATTATTATTATTATTATTATTATTATTATTATTATTATTATTATTATTATTATTATTATTATTATTATTATTATTATTATTATTATTATTATTATTATTATTATTATTATTATTATTATTATTATTATTATTATTATTATTATTATTATTATTATTATTATTATTATTATTATTATTATTATTATTATTATTATTATTATTATTATTATTATTATTATTATTATTATTATTATTATTATTATTATTATTATTATTATTATTATTATTATTATTATTATTATTATTATTATTATTATTATTATTATTATTATTATTATTATTATTATTATTATTATTATTATTATTATTATTATTATTATTATTATTATTATTATTATTATTATTATTATTATTATTATTATTATTATTATTATTATTATTATTATTATTATTATTATTATTATTATTATTATTATTATTATTATTATTATTATTATTATTATTATTATTATTATTATTATTATTATTATTATTATTATTATTATTATTATTATTATTATTATTATTATTATTATTATTATTATTATTATTATTATTATTATTATTATTATTATTATTATTATTATTATTATTATTATTATTATTATTATTATTATTATTATTATTATTATTATTATTATTATTATTATTATTATTATTATTATTATTATTATTATTATTATTATTATTATTATTATTATTATTATTATTATTATTATTATTATTATTATTATTATTATTATTATTATTATTATTATTATTATTATTATTATTATTATTATTATTATTATTATTATTATTATTATTATTATTATTATTATTATTATTATTATTATTATTATTATTATTATTATTATTATTATTATTATTATTATTATTATTATTATTATTATTATTATTATTATTATTATTATTATTATTATTATTATTATTATTATTATTATTATTATTATTATTATTATTATTATTATTATTATTATTATTATTATTATTATTATTATTAT